TGCATACCAGGAACCACATCTCATAATTTTGTATCACATAGTTTTTATCAGAAGCCATAGCGTAGGGCCGGCCCGGTGGCGCACTGCTACAGTGCGCCGCTTGGGAAGCGCGGCGGCGCTCCCGCCGAGGGTTCGGATCCCACATACAGACCGGCCGCTCACTGGCTGAGCGAGGTGCGGGCGCAACACCGAGGGTTGCGATCCCATTGCCGGTCCTGGTCCGGTACGGGCGCGACACTGAGGGTTGCGATCCGTTGCCGGTCACGAAAAAAGACAAAAAGGAAAAAAAAAAAAAAAACTAATCTTTGACTCTGGCCATAACTCCAAACATACCATGATAGACAGCGCATGCCGTGGCCCACATGCACACAGGCCCTAAATAACAGCTGAATGGAGTATCACACAGAAGTGCCAAGGACAGCCATATCTATCTGCCCCCCATCCAGGCCTCTCTTTGCTCCAATAATCGCCCCACCACTCTCCACCATTACAACTCACAGCCCCCCTCCCCATCCCCACCCAGTTCTGAGCCTATCCTCTAAGGATCTAGAGCAGGGGCTGTCACCCTGGTCCCCAAGAATGGCCAGGAAGTGTTATTGCAACTCCCCCAGGCTCCACCCACCTGAGGTTCTGATCCAGAAGGTCTGGGTAGGCTTCTGGAGCTAGCCTTTTTAACAAGTGCCCCAGTGCACCTGGGGCAGTGGGTTGAGGCCCACCCCTGAAACATGGTGTTCCAGATGGCTGCATTTTCAACACCCTCAACTCCAGAATGTTCTTGGCGTGGTGAGGACCCGACCCCAGTCTTCCTCCTCTCCTCCAGGTTGACTATGTAATGGCTGAAGAAGGCTGTTTCAGAGGATGGGTGGACACACTGCAAGGGCAGGATGCAAACAGGGCAGGCAAGTTTCTGATCTCTGCCCCAACAAGGGTGGAAGTCCCAGAGCATGTAGGGTCTGACAGGCTTTGCTCTGGAGAAGGTCAGCTGATGGCAGCTGCAGCTGGGGAGGCAGGCCAGGCAGAAGTGGTCACCACCTTTCTACAGAGGAAAGAGTAGGAGAGCTAAAGCCACGTCTTCCAACCCTGTTCAGTGCTGACTGCACTTGGTTTATCTGGGATCATGTCCAGAGCACAGGTTCTCTGCGTCCATGGAGCTTTGCATGGGCCCAACCCACGAGTGGGGGTGTGGGGTAGGATTTAGAGATTTCCAGAGTCAAGCTGGACCCTGGTACCAAAGATGAGTGGGGCTGGGACTGTGTCTTTAAGTACCCCAGAAGTGAGGGGCCCAGGGGCAAAGTAATAGGCCAGGTGCTGAAATGCTGGGCCATCCCATCCCAGGTGCAGGGGCAGAAACAAGCACCAGGCCCTCTGAGGAGGCCCTTCCCTGGGGGTGGGGAGGCTGCGAGGGGCAGGGGGTTGGGTAAACAAAGCCAGGCCATGGGAGGGTAATGAGCTGTGCGGGAGTGAGGTGTCAGGGCCCTCATTAGGGCCTTATCTCCAGATTTGTTTCAAGGGAAGAAGCAGAGCCTTATCTGGGTGACAGAAGCACCCCTGGGAGGGAGGCAGCATGTTTGTGTGTCACTGAGTTAATTGTCTTTAGCCCTCAGTGTGTGTACGTCTACCTCATGGTACATATTTTTGGCTTTCTATTACTTTTAATTGTGGTAAAATAAACATAAAACTTGCCATTTTAACCTCTTTTTTTTGGGGGGGGGGAGCTGGCCAGTACAGGGATTCAAACCCATGACCTTGGGGTTATAAGGCTGTGCTCTAACCAACTGAGCTAATTGGCCAGCTCCCATATTAGCCATTTTTAAGTGTACAGTTCAGTGGCATTAAGTACATTCACGCTGTTGTGCAACCCTCAGCACCATCCATCTCCAGAGCTCTTTTCATTCTGCAAAACTAAGTCTGTACCCACTAAACTCCAAGTCCCCATTTTCCCCTCTCCCCAGCTCCCAGCACCCACCATTCTACTTTGTCTCTATGAATGTGACTACTCCAGGTACCTCATATAAATGGAATGATACAGCATTTTTTTTGTGACCAACTTATTTCACTTAGCATGTCTTCAAGGTTCACCCATGTTGTGGCATGTGTCAGAATTTCCTTTATAAGGCTGAATTACATTCCACTGTATGTATGTACCACATTTTTTTTTCCTTTTTGTCTTTTTTCGTGACCGGTAACGGGATCGCAACCCTCAGTGTCACGCCCATACCGCGACCGGCAACGGGATCGCAACCCTCGGTGTCACGCCCACACCGCGCTCAACCAGTGAGCGGACCGGTCTCTATATGGGATCCGAACCCTCGGCGGGAACGCCACCGCACTCCCAAGCACCACACTCAACCGAGTATGCCACCGGGCCGGCCCAATATGTACCACATTTTGCTTATCCATTCATCCACTGAAATACACTTGGGTTGCTTCCACCTTTTGGTTATTATAAATAATGCTACTTGAACATCGTGTACAAATTTTGCTCTGTATTTTTGTGTACTTCCCCTACAGGCCCAAGCTTGTACGGGACTCAATTTTTGTAAGTAAAAAAACCACTGAATATTGCCAATTTCATGTGGTTCAACTAAATACATGTACATATACCCATGCACAACTGTACCTGTGCATGTATGTACATGTACCTACTGTCTGTGATGTTCGTGTGCCTACTTGGTTGTCTTTAAGTATCTAGCTACATGTTAGTGTATATGTGCCTGTATGTGCTGGTCTGTGTGCAGATGTATTTGTGTACATTAGTGTCTGGGCTGGGGGTAGTCCTTGACCCTAACTCTGGATTGCAGTACTGGGTGTGTATACAGGGAGCTCAACTGAGAGGGGCAGGGTGGGAAGACTGAGTTGAAGGGAAAAGGATTCCAGCTGATTTCAACATCCTAATAATAGCATGGAAATCAAATAAAATTCCCCAGGGCTGCAGGACTGGCTGCACTTCCCTGTGGGCTGAGTAGGTAAAGGGCAATGGGAGGGTAGACAGGTGAATCCCGGCCTTGGGGCAGGGCACAGGGGTGGTGGCCCAGGGTGAGGGGGCCATAGAGACAGACCCAAGCCAGTCCCTGGCTTCAGTGTGTGGGGCACAGGCCCCTTAATGACTGTTATTAAGAGGAACGAAAATATTTCCTGTCCAGGAGGTGTGTCAGGCATCTGCCTGGCACAGCTTGGCCATCCCGGGGGTCATTTATCCTTGTCTGTCATCTCATAAGCCAAGTGGTACCTGGGCAGGTGACTGTCATGTGGGGTGGCAGGAGCAGAGGCTGGGCTGCAGCCCTCCAGCTGCAGGCTGCTCTGATGCCAACACTGCCACACACTTTTGCCTTGTCACCTCTGGGTCAGGGGAGACAGGGGTCCAGTGCAGGAGCAGCTGGGCCAGTAGGGGAGCCAGAGTGCACCCAAATCCCTTGACACAAGAGCTAGAGACACAAGGGGACAAGTGGGGAGGCATCCCAGAGGCTGGCTTGAGCTGGGTAGTAAAGGATGGGAAGGATTTCAAGAGGTGCAGAAGGGCAAGCAGGGCATTCTGGCTGCAGGAGGAGGGCAAGGCCATGCCACAAAAAGGAGGTGGGGGCTGGGTGCAGGGAAAGGTGCTGCCAGGAAGGCCGCCTGTGAGAAGCCTTGAGGGCCATGCGAAGGTGCTGGGCTCTTACCTTAAAGATGACAGGCAGAGGTTGAGAAGATTCCAGAGCGGAGTTTAGAATAATTTAGGTAGGAAGAAGCCCTGAGGGGGAGAGTGACCCAAAGAACAGCCTCCCAGAGACAACCCAAATGGGGGTGGTTCACAGTTCACTGAGTACCACATGGGTCTTCAGGAGGTCACTGCTCTGAGTTCTGATTGCATCCTGATACCCCAAGGGCTGGGCCTAACCAGGGGCTGTGGTTGTGCTACTGGACTGAGTCTGACCCCCTGGTTGGAACACTGGCCCTGCCATTTAATGGGTAAGCTGAACAATCACAACTTCTCTGAGTCACAGTGGCTTAATCTGTAAACTGGGACCAACAGCACCTCCTTCACCAGGTTGTTGTGAAGAATGAATGGGCTAATCTATGTCAAGTGACTGAGAGAAGCTGTAGTAGCTCAGTTCATGCTGAATTCCAGAGCTTTTCCAGCTGTGAAGGGGCAGGAGCTCAGTGAAGGCCTGAAGACAAATGAAGCAGCCACCAGAGGAGGTCTTCCAGTCCCTTCTAGACCAAAGGCTGCCCCTGGGCCTTGTCAGTGGACTGTG